CCGAGCCTGTTTGCAGCTGCTGCCTCTTCTGAACGTAGGCGGTTTGCATCATCTGCGTGCCCTTGTCCCTGACTTCTTAGTCCCTTTGATGGAACTGATCTTGATCTCCATGACCTTTCGAATCCCTTTCACCTCCACAGTTCTAGTTCAGTGATTTTTTTTTTTTTTTAAAAAAGCAAAAGACCCCAAGCTTTGGAAGCCGCCCTCCTGGGCTCCCGGGCTCCCGGGCTCCAGGCTCTGTGGGCTGTGCCTCCCACACTTTCTCTGTGGTCTCTCCTTTTCATTCTCCTCCCCAAGCTCCCAGCTCTCTCCTTTTAACCCTCTCTCCACTCTCCTGGTGCCTTTACTTACTTATTTAACTAAAGGAATCCACAATTTTATTTCCATGTCACAATACAAAACAAAAAATTTTTTTTTAACGTCTGCTGGCAAACGGTTCTCTTTGGTCATCTTCCTTGTCGTGCTGTTAAGAAAACACCGAGAGTCGCAGCATCGTCCTCTCCCAGTGAAGCAGCACCAGTGATATAACATGATACTAAGTAGCTGCCCTCTGTCCTACTCTGTCTGGTCGAGTCATTCCTGCCCGGGTGGACACCATCATAGGACAGGTTGGGGGTCTCAGCGCTGGAGGCCCAGGCTTTATTGCCATGTGGCCTCCCGGGGTGGTCTCATTCCAGGAACAGGTCCCACTGGTGACTTTCATTGCCCGTGTCTTCAACTTCAGGTCTGTATGTTTGCCTCTGACCCTGTTTTTTTTTTTTTTTTAATTTCTCTGACCTATCTCTATTTATGAATCCTTACTGAGCACTTACACAATTTTACACACACACACACACACACACAAAGAAACAAACCCATTGCTCATGTGTTACAAAGTACAGCTGGTCCATAGAGTTTTCTTGGGTGTAATCCTTATGAAACAGGTTGTTTCTTCCATTGTTAAGTGGGTTCAAACTCCCATCCTTTAGGTTAGCGGCTGATGACAAACTGCTAGCATCACCCCTGGTCCTTTCTGCTTCACACAGTCATTATTCAGAGTCCCTGAGTGGCGCACACAGCTGAGTGCTCGACTTGTGTGCCCTCAAATTGATTCTGACTCACAGTGACCCTACAGGACAGAGGAGAACTGCCCCATAAGTTTTTTTTTTTTTTTTTAATGCATTTTATTGAAATTAATTTCTGTACAGCGAAATACACAAAACTAAAGTGACATGGGTCAAATGCATTTTCTTTTTTTTTTTTGCAGTGTTCCCTCTCCTCCCTTCCTACCCCTGGCAACCAAGAAAGAAAGTTTCCCTCCATGTATAAACCTTTCCTTGACCCTCCACAGCAATGAACTAATACTATATTTGTCCTATTATGCACTGTTTTGCAAACTCTACATTATTTTTTAGTGCTGCATAGCATTAATTATTGGCAAATATTTGTTTGCTGCTGTCATTTTTGTTATGTGTTTTTTCATGGTGTTGATTTCTTTGTTCCATATAATTTTCTATGCTCAGCTCGTTTTGTTTATGAATTGTGTTATCACTTCCTTCGTTGCTATTGTTTTACTATTTGCTAAATATTTGTGCTGGTCCTCTTTTTTATTTTGATGTGAAGGTCTATCATTTTTCTTGGTGGTTACCTTGTGATTTATAGTTTCCTTCCCAAGTTTAGAATAGTCCGTTCTATCTTGTAGTTGTCTTGACTTCCCTGCCATCTGGAAGTTCTGTAATGACACAGTTTTTTCCCTCTTTTTGGTTTGTAGTTGTCCTCATTTGTCAAATAATGTCTCTGGTTCCCTGTTTATAATCTTGTAGGCTTATTTATTTTGGATACTTTCATAGCTGGGTTGGTTTCTGGGTTGTATCATCATGTGTGTTAATGGTCAGTTGTTGTTCGCTGTTGTTGCTTCTCTGTCCAAAGGACTCCCTTTAGCATCTCGTAAGGTTGATCTGGTTTTAACAAATTCCCTTAATTTCTGCTTATCTGGAAATCTAATTTCACCATCATAGTTGAGGGACAATTTTGCTGGGTACATAATTCTTGGTTGGAAATTTTTCTCTTTCAGGATTTTATATATACCATCCGTTGTCTTCTCGCCTGCACGGTTTCTGCCAAGAAATCTGAGCTTAGTCTTATTGGTTGCCCCTTGTAGGTAACTTTACGTTTTTCCCGTGCTGCTCTCAGGATTCTTCCTTTGTCTTTGCTTTTGGTGAGTTTGATGATGATATGTCTTGGTCTATCCAGTTTGGGGTTCGTTGGATTTCCTGAATGGATATATTCTCATCTTTCATCATACCAGGAAAATTCTCTTCCAACAAATCTTCGACAATTTTCTCTGCGGTTTTATTTTTCTCTTCCTGTTCTTGAATTCCGATTACATATAGGTTATTCCTTTTGAGGGTATCCCACATGAACTTGATCTTTTTTCTAACTGATCCTATTCCAAAGAAGTATTCAGGTATTTGTCTTCACTCTCACTAATTCTGTCTTCCATTGATTCAATTCTACTCCTTTGTCTGTTCAATGTCTTATCTATTTCTGAAAATTTAGTATTAATCTTCTGGATTTCTGTGTGTAGATTCTGTATCATATCTAATTTTTCATTTATTTTGTCATTTTGTTCTTGTGTTGTCTTTCAAAACTGTTCTAGGTTTTTTTGTGTGTTTTCCTCCATTTTGTCAGTGTTTTCCTTTATCTGCCTCTCAATTCATTGAAGATACCTAAATATAATTATTTTGAATTATTTATCAGGGAGTTCCAATGCTGTGTCTTCCTCAGGGATGTGTTTTGGTCTCTTCTTTCTCCGGCTTTATCTTGCTTCTTTGAGTGGACTATGATGCTCTATTGTCTCCAAGGCATTGTGATGTTTTTGTGTTTATATTTAATTGGTGATTGTACGTTAGAGTGACTTGCCCATGAGTTTTGTTTTCTTCGTATGTTATCTATGTAACCAGGGGACTGTGCTGTGTTCCTCTATTCGCTAGTTGATGGCACTTGTACACACATCACCTGTCTCCTTTTCTGCTGTCAGCCTCTTGTATATCCCTGCTGTCCTTGGCAAACAGAGTCTATTCTTAGGTCCTGTTTTCGTTCAGGTTTTTCCAGTAGTTGGTGCCTCATCCACTTCTGTATAGTTCCTTTCAAAGCTCAGGGCTCCAGGATTATCTTCTGTATCTCTGTCAATTGGGTTCTCTTTTCTTTGTTAAGGAGAGTCTGTGTGGCTTGTCTGCCTATTCCTCCATCTTACTGAAGTCTCTGTGTGACCCCTCTTCTAAGACTCAGACCATTTCACCTTATCTCATTACCTCCATGCCACAGGCACAGGTCTGCTCTGGTGCCCTGCCTGGCGCCAGCCTTAGCTGCCAGGCAGCTTCCAGCACACCATCTGCTCATTCTTCCTCCTTACTCTTCCCACGTATGCGCTCCCCTTCACCGCCACCCACCTCTCCTGGGCTCACCTCCCTGTTGTCATTATCTGCCATCCCACTGGCTCCTGGAATGAAGTGCTGCCCATTCCTGCACCACCCCCACAACTGGTCGCCCCTCGGCCTTTCATGCTCCATAAGGTTCTCACTGGCTGCTTTTCAGGAGATCTCTAGGCCTTTCTTCCTAGTCTGTCTCAGTCTGAAAGCTCTGCTGAAACCTGTTCAGTATCCTGGCAACATACAAGCCTCCACTGGCAGACGGGTGGGGGCTGCACGTGAGGTGCATTGGCTGGGAATTGAACCTGGGTCTCCCGCGTGGAAGGGAGAATTCTATGACTGAGCCACTAACGCCTCCCCTCTATTCCTGGCACACACTGGACTGATGCCATATTGTCTGAGAACCCACTCAGCAGCCAACTTACCCTTCAAGATTCAGCTTCAGTGCCAGCACCTCCTGGAAACCTTCCTTCACAGACGAGGTGAACCAGTTCCTCTGTGCGCTCAGAGGGTCTTACACATATCATTTCAGGACCTTCTGTACAGGTGCAGTTACTAGATCAGAACTAGCTCAACACCCTTAGACACCCTTCAGGCCTGGAACAACACCTCCATGCCTCAGTGTTGAGCCAAGTGAGAGACAGTGTTATCCAAAAACCAAAACCAAACTCACTGCTGTCAAGTTGGATCCAACTCATAGTGACCCCTTCTTAGGTTTCCAAGGAGGTATCACTACAGAAGTAGATTGCCCAATCCTCCTTCCGAGGAGTTGCTAGTGGATTTGAACCAACAGCCTTCTGGTTAGGAGTCAGATGCCTTAGGCACTACGCTACCAGAGCTGTAAGGTAACCGATAACACCAGGGATGTATGCGCTCCTTAGAACAGTCAACCACCGGAGGTCAAAAGGGCAGCATTTGCCCAGGGATGAGCTCAGAGGGCAGGGAAGGGGGATAGGAAAGGAGGAGGAAAGGGAACAGTAACACAGGGAGGACGTGTGGTGAGAGGGGACTTCAATCAATGTCATAAAACAAAATGTGTGGTAACTGTTGAATGGAAAACCACTTTGCTCTCCAAACTTCACTCAGATCACAATACACAGGTTTAAAAAAAAAAACTGAGTATCAGTTCAACATCAAATAAGTAGACAAGTTGGTACCTTCACGATAAGAGCCCTGGTAGTGAAACCATTAGGTGCTTGGCTGCTAACAGAAAGCACGGGAGACAGACCTTGTGATCTGCTATTGTAAGCTCTGCGGCTAAGGAAACTCTGTGGGCGGTTTGACTCTATCACGTGGGGTCACTATGAGTTGGAAGCAAGTTGATGAGAACTAGCAACAACCTCTTTCCCTAAATGGGGCTCTTGAGGGCAAGGTTTGGGTCTATTCATCTTTGTGCCTCCAGAGCGTGCCATTTAGAAGGTGCTTAACGTGTGTTGAAAGTAGAACAAGTCCCTGAGTACCTGCTTCCGTGGGTGACATCCACTTGGATACAAACAAGAACGGGTAGACGGGAGTTCACGGGCCCAGGTGGACTTGCTGGGCACCAGCTTCTATTTCTGAATGCACGTGTCTTCTCTCTCGCAGGAGGGAAGTTCTCGCAAGGATGGTCTCCCACTCAGAGCTGAGGAACCTCTTCTGCTCGGCTGACGCCGTCTGTTTTGACGTTGACAGCACTGTCATCAGAGAGGAAGGGATCGACGAGCTGGCCAAGTTCTGTGGCGTTGAGGATGCTGTGTCGGAAATGTATGTGGAGTGTTTATTCAGCGTACGGAATGCGGAGGAATCGCAGGATAGAATGACTATTTGGGTTGAAATGGTCCCCAGATGTTAGTTCCTGGGTAGGAAATGTGGGAGCTAGATTTTTCCTTCTACCGTTTAGCACTGAGTTTGGTAGTGCATTTAGCCATTCACCCATGGACACAAATACTACACACAAATATGGATAAGACGTGCTCTCAGCGGGTAACAGAGGCCATCACTAGCCAGAGAAGATGGTCTGGGAGGCCACCTTGTGTCCAGCACTTGTGTCGTGGTTGAAAGTATGGCCTCGGTGGTTTGCTGGAAGCTGGTTCTGGGTCACAACCTCCCGCCATCCTTCTCCTCCTTCCCTCCCTCCCTCTCGAACTGCCCCAGCAGACAGGTCACGAGCCATCTCAGGCTCTGCTGCATCTGACGCAGGAGTGGCCCAGACTTGAGAATTCTTTCATGGTTTACCAAAGTCCATGGCTTCCAGGGAAGGAACCTGCAGACAGGCCAAGTGGTTTTCTCAGTTCACGACGGTGTGCTGGCGGAGACAAAGCCCCTCTCTTCACGTGGTTCTCTGGCAAACCCTCCGTAGTCTGTGCCCAGGGTCCTCCCCACGGGCAGTGCAGCACGTCTGGTATGCAGAGGTGTTCCTCACCGTAGATGTGAGGGCTGAGGAGGGAGGCATGAACAATGAGGGCAGCTGATGGGGCAGACTGACTGTTGGCTCCTCCTCCTAGGACACGTCGGGCCATGGGTGGGGCAGTGCCTTTTAAGGCCGCACTCACCGAGCGCTTAGCGCTGATCCAGCCCTCCCGGGAGCAGGTACAGAGGCTGTTAGCAGAGCACCCCCCCCACCTGACACCCGGGATAAGGTAAGAGGATCCTGGTTCTGGTGACACCATTTCCCCACCAGCACCTGTGTCTGGGGACATGTCATCCTGAGAGTATCTCACCTAACTCGAGAGCTCCCCATATGGTTCTCTCTGCATTGTGTGTGTGTGTGTGTGTGTGTGTCCCTGCTTGTGTCTGCCTTCTCTCCCTGGTGCTCTCTGAGGCAAATGTCACATAAACTTTTCTCCTGCCTGGTATCAGTCATCACCTGTCCTGGAACCATACCTCATCTTGGGTTTCTGGGTACATGGGCAGGACAGAATCGTCCTTTAGGTTTCCTAAAGCAACCCGTTAATTTCTAAGTGTATTTAGAAAAATACGTTACAAACAGCCGTCAAGCCAATTCCAACTCATGGCAACCCCACACGTGTCAGAGCATAACTGCGGTCTGTGGGGCTTTCAGGGGCTGATCTTTTTTGCAAGTAGATCACCAGGCCTTTCTTCCAGGCAGACTTGAACCTCCAGGTTCAAGCTGAGCGTGGTCACTGTTTCCCCCCCCGGGGACTCTGGAAAACCACGTGTGAACACTTGTTCACCAGGCGGTAGTGTCACACGTACCTCAGGTGAATGTATCCAGGAGATAAATGCGTATTTTCGTTTGTCGCCTTTCATTTTTTCTCTTTGGTATATTAATCAGCGCTTGGCGTTTGATGTCTGTTCGTTTAGGGAGCTGGTGAGTCGCCTGCAGGAGCGGAACGTGCAGGTGTTCCTAATATCGGGCGGCTTCCGGAGCATTGTGGAGCACGTCGCCTCGAAGCTCAGCATCCCAGCCACCAACGTGTTTGCCAACAGGCTCAAGTTCTACTTCAATGGTAAGACCTTCCTGGTCCGTTTCCCCTTCTTTGCAGTTGCAATTCAGCAACCTGCCGGCTTGCAACTTACACGGAGTGGCATCTGGTTTCCACATTGAAACCAACCTCTCTTCTGACTGAGATCTTTCACTCTGTAAAATCGACTTTGGTCATCAATGCATGTTACAGACCCTGGGGCATCACCTATGTGTAAACTCCACCGCAAGCCGGACACTGATTCTTCCACAACGCACGTTTTGGTACATGTCGTGTTTCCATTTTACAAGCACTCTCATGTATCTGGGAGTCCCAGGCGATGCAAATGGTTGACGTGCTTGGCTGCTAACCGGGCTGATGTTAGAAAGGCTGGCGGTTCAAACCTACCCAGAGGTCTCAGAAGAAAGGCTTAGTCATCTGCTTCCAACAGCTCAGCCGTTGAAAACCCTCAGGAGTGCAGTTCCACTCTGACTCCCACAGGGTCGCCTGGAGTCCAGACCGACTTGGTGGCAACTGGTTACTGGTAGCTCACATGTTTCAGTCAGTTTCGGCTTGTGAAGGGCAGTTAATCAGTTAACAGATGGCCTTGGGGAAGCCTCACGGACCCCTCTCTGACCCCTATTTGTATTTTTATGTCACCTCAGGGTGTCCCTGGGGGTGGCTGACATCCTTGAAGCCAAATAATATGAATTTAATATTTAAAGATGTGTTGACAGAACATCTTCAAAGGGTCTGTGTAGAGAAAGTGTTGAAAAAAGAGAGGGATGAGTATGGCGAGTACTGTAAGAAGGGAAATGATGGTCTAGAACAGGACAGACTCCTCGGAGGTGAAATTACGTATTAACTTAGTTCAGATTTAATATATCACTGTTTCCTGGGGTTCTGCCACCCCGACAAGGTGTGACAATTCCTATACTGGAAGCTTACGAGGATAAAGCAAATCCACCCTGAAGTGTCCGTGACCTCTGGAGTCCTGGTGGGGCTCACGGTTCATGTGCTCGGCTGCAGGTTTGAGTGCGTCCGGGGCTGCCTCAGAAGAGAGGCCTGGCGACCTACTTCTGAACAAGCAGCCATGGAAAACACTACGGAAAAGCCTGTGGAGCACAGATCTGCTCTGACACACAGCAAGTGGTGCAGTACCCTCTCTGAGAGGAGCTTATATAATTTAAAAAGAAAACCGGTTTATTATGAGCAATAGGTGTTGGATCCCAGCTGGTTGCCTTCACTGAGGGCCACTGATAGCCTTCCTGGTGACATTTATGTGACACAATCATGTGTGTAAGGAGCTTTGGTGGTGCAGTGGATAAGGCACCAGAAGGTCAGTGGTTCAAACCCACCAACTGCTCTGCAGAAGGAAGATGGGGCAATCTACTTCCCTTAAGATTTACAGCTGCAGAAACCCAATGGGGGTGACTATGAATCGGAATCAACTCAACGGCAGTGAGTTTGGATTGGTTTGGTTTATCAGGTTCGTAAAGGCAGACCTCGGAGATACCATGAAGCCAGTTCCAGACTGCCATGGTGAAGCTAATACCGTAACAAAGCAAGTCCCATGGGCTTTTGGTTTCCTAGTATCTGTATATGTTGTGTTTATGCCCTATCGCAGTCTGTTAAGGAGCTCTGGGGGCGAGTGCCCAAGGCATTTGATTGCTAACTAGAAGGTCGGTGATTCAAACCCACCAGCCACTCTGTGGAAGGAAGAATGGGCAATCTACTTCCATAAAGATTTATAGCTTTGGAAACTCAGTGGGGGTCGCTATGAGTTGGAATCACCTCGATGGCAGTGGGTTTAGTTTTTTGAGTAGTCTGTTAAGGAGCTCTGGTGGTGCAGTGGCTGAAGCACTCAACTGCTAACCAAAAGGTTGACAGTTTGAACCCACCAGCTGCTCCATGGGAGAAAGATGAGGCGGTCTGCTTCCATAAAGATTTATACAGCCTTGGAGACCCTACGGGGCAGTTCTAGCCTGTCCCACAGGGTCACTATGCATTGGAATCGATGGTAGTGGGTTTGGTTTTGGTAGTCTATGAAGTGTGCAGTAGCGTGAGAAAAAGCTCGAAATACCGTGAGAATGACCGAGATGTGACACAGAGACACAGCGGGCACACACTGCTGGAAAAGTGGCACCAAGGGGCCATGTTCGTGGCCGGGCTGCCACACCTGCCATCTGTGAAAAACTCAGTATCTGCGAAGCGGCATGAAACGAGGTCTGCCTGCTGTTAGGAGAGCTGGCCCTGGTGTTATAGCCATGTAGGTTTTAACACTCTTGTAACTGTTCTTTTCAGGTGAATATGCAGGTTTTGATGAGGCACAGCCAACAGCTGAATCTGGCGGGAAAGGAAAAGTTATTAAGCTTCTAAAAGAGAAATATCACTTTAAGAAGATAGTCATGATTGGAGATGGAGCCACGGACTTGGAAGCTTGCCCCCCCGCTGTATGTATCATGGACACGTGCCTCTTTCAAGCTGCACTTTTTTTTTAAAGTTGTGATTTGGGTGAAAGTTTACAGAACAAATTCATTTTCCACACAACAGCTCATACACATATTGTCTCATGACATTGACTGCAGTTCCTCATAATGCAACAGCTCTCTTCCCACTTCCTCCCTGTGGTTACCTCTTCCCTGTGTCCTTCTCTCCTGTGCATTCCTGCTCTCTGAGCTGTCTCCTTTCACACTGCACTTCTGGGTTAGACAGTTGATTTAGAATGAAATGGTATCACAACGAGAGTTCAACAAAAGCATCTAAGGAGCCAAGTATACCTGGATGGTGCGAACGGTTGGCGCCCTCGGCCGCTGCCTCAGAGGTTGGGCTTTGGAGTCCACCCAGAGGCAGCTCAGCAGAAAGGCTTGACAGTCTACTTCCGAAAAGTCGGCCACTGCAAACGCTATGGAGTGCAGTCTGTTCTGACAGACACGGGGGCGCCACAAGTCAGCGTTGACAGACTGCAGCTGGTGGTTTATCACTTCCAAATTGGAAAAAAAAAAATAACTAGAACAAATTTAATCTCACTATGTCAGTTAACTCTTGGCAAACCCAAGAAAGGCTGCATATAAGGAACCACAAACCTTCTCAAACTTTTAATGACGCCATGTCTCTGCAGTGTGGCCACCTCCTCTTACCCCAAGCGTTTGCTCAACAAGGCACAGCTCCAGTTCTGCTGGCTGCCAGCCACTCCTATAGCTGCAGCCAAGATGTTAACGTCATTTTATGCTTTGCAAACTCTCTCCTCATACATTCTCTCACTCACTCCTCATCATCGTCTGTGAGGATGGGGAAGCGAAGGCTCGCAGAGGCTAGGTAGTGTTCCTGTAACACAGCACATTTTGTGTTCTGAGTTATCGTTGTTTCCCAAGACTCAAAATCAAACCAAACCCACTGCCATGAAGTCCATTCCGACTCACAGTGGTCCTAGAGGACAGAGAACTGCCCCATAGGGTTTCCAAGGCTGTCAAGCATTAAAGAAGCAAAGCCCAAACCAAACCCACTGCCCTGGAGTTGATTACAACTCATGGAACCCCTAGAACACAGAGGAAAACTGCCCCATAGGGTTTCCAAGGCTGTTGATCTTTACGAAAGCAGATTACCTCATCTTCTTCCTGTGGAGCAGCTGCTAGGTTCCAGCCACTGACCTCTTAATTAGCAGCACAATACTTTAACCACCTGCCATCAGCGCTCCTTTCCTGAGACAAACAGGGGTTTTTATTTTAGCATTTTAATTAAAGCATCTTAAACCCAGTGCAGGAAGAAGACGTTACCTAGCGAGGGTCCTGAATACCCACTGTGTCAGCCCTGTGTAGGACATTGCCTTTATTATCGTCCCATTAGAACCCAAGGAAAACGGAACCAAAAATGGTCCCAGATTTTCCTCCACTGTGTTTCCTGTCATCTAAAAGTAGTAACTGTCTTTGTAAATGATTAGTCAGAAATCCTGAAAGACTCTTTCTTGATGCTTTTACCATGACTCGAGTCAGTGTGAGATAAATGCATCCTTAGATGCTTTTAACAGCCGTTGGGTATCGGCCCTGTAAGGAACCCAGGCCAGTCTGATGAGGAGTGGTGCCATTGTCAGCTGCCACCAAGTCCACCCCGACTCATGGTGACCTTGAGCCCAAGGGGAGAGAGAATGCTGCCGGCCTGTTCCCCACCCCCCCCATGGCCAGCTGCAGACAGGGTTCGTGTTGGCTGATTTTCCAAAGCGGACCTCCGGGCCTCCTTCCTAGCCCTGCTGAGTCTGGAAGCTCTACTCGAACCTGTTCAGCATCGCAGCCACACGCAGGCTGGCTGCTCCGGGGCCAGCGTCCAGAGGGCTGCTGCAGAGGCAGGAAGATCCGCCAGGAGGCCGAATGCAACTGCAAGTGAAAACCTAGTTGTCTTTTTCCCCTGTGTACTATGAAAATAAAAACGAAGGGAGCAGGACACTAAGAGGAAGCTGCACTTTCAAATCATGTGCGTGTCTGTGTCCTGACAGAGACAGAAAATCCCATTTTAAAGAAGGTCTTGCTTCACAGAACTGGTAAAACAGCTTCACGCAGGGAGCCCCCGGGGGGTGCGAGTCGTCAGCACGGTCGGCTGGTCGCCAGCTCGAGTCCACACAGAGGCACCTCGGAAGAAAGGTCTGGAGACCTGCATCTGAAGAGTCGGCCCCTGAGAAGCCAGCGGAGCCCTTGGACACACACGGTTGCCGTGAGTCAGAACAGACTCAACGGCAGCTGTGCTTTGTTAAACTTTAAACAATTTCCATGATGAAAAGTCAAGTTCGCCCACAACATCCAGGCTGTCATCTCCTCCAGTCCACAGTGAGACCCTGGCCGCTGTGCTGCACACTCCGTGGGTCTCTTCCCATCCCTGGGTGGGAAAAGCCCGCGGTAGATGTCTGGCCACCCAGCTCCCGGGGGTCTCCCACTGCTGAGGCTGCTCTTTGACCTCACAAGGCATGGACGTGACTGCCCACTGAGATCTCAGGCATTCCTGTCAGGTGTGGTTTGGCCAACATTCTGTAAGCATTTGTCTTGGTTTTATGAGGGCAGGGACAGCCTCTTACCCTGCTCCCAAACCCTATACCTGCCTAGCGGAATTGATCCGTGACCACAGTGCATGTCCCTGACTCGTGCATGAGCCAGGGAGGTGCCTCTTCATGTCACAGCTCAGTGGGAGCACCCAAGTCAGCCTGGCATCAACCTTCTTTCCACAGACAGGTTTCGTTCAGACCAGAGACTTACCACTGCTGTGGCTGCAGCTCTTTGTTTCTTAAAAGCTCTTTCCTTTTTTATTTCTCAGGATGTTTTCATTGGATTTGGAGGAAACGTGATCAGACAACAAGTAAAGGACAAAGCCAAGTGGTATATCACCGATTTTGTTGAGCTTCTGCGAGAACTGGAAGAATAGTACCCATTCTGATACAGCTGATGTATGACTTCAGATTAATTTCACCAAGGAGACAGATTGATGCTGGCTGCTGAGAATCGCTTCAGACACCTTGATGTACTTTTGGAACTGATCACCTGTACTTTCCTGTAGACTGCAGAGGCTCCAAGAAAATTCCTTTTTTTTTTTTTTAACTGTAGTTCCAGTATTATTATGACCACTAATTACCCGGAGAGTTTTATAATCTGAATTTTTGATGTATGTTCCTGAGTATATTTTATTTGAAGCCTGTCAAAGACAGATAGTCAATTAAACACCTTAACTCTTGGAAATATGGAACAGGCGGCCTCAAGTGTTCCTTTTGGTATATAAATAAAAACTCATCCTTGGATCAAGAACAGATTTGTGGAATTTTCAATTCTGCCTTTCAGGGACTTCCACTCACTGCCAACTCACAGTGACCCTATAGACAGAGTAGAACTGCCCCATACAGTTTTCAAGGCTGTGAATCTTCACAGGTGTAGACTGCCTCATCTTTCTGCCACAGGGCAGCTGGTGGGTTTGAACCTCCAACCTTTTGGTTAGCACCCAAATGCTTTAAGCACTGAACCACCCCAGCTCCTTTTAGGGTCTTAGATTAAGTGTTTCAGGTAGTTTAAATGTTTAAATAAATATAACCTCCAGGCAGGGAACCGATCCAAGACTCCCCTTAGTGTCAGTAGCCCTTGGGTAGCCCTTCAGTGGTCACTGAAAGGTTGGAGGGTTGAACACACCAAGGTGCCATGGAAGAAAGGACTGGTGGTCCATCTCTGAAAGAATCTGCTGTTGATAGCCCTGGGGAGCACAGCTCTGCTCTGACCGGGGAGGACCAGGGGTCGGCATCAGCGTGATGGCAACTGGATTGTGTTTTCAGTGCTGATGTTCAGTGCTGGTCTCCACATCCCCACCATGCACTCCGCATCCCTCTCTGAGTGCTGACGGGAAGACTGGGTCAAAGGCTCAGCTCTTTCTTTTTACCTCCTGGCTTCTGTCACGTGTGGAATGTTATAAAGACCTTTTTAAAAAATAACAATGGCGCCTTAAACCCAAATGGACATTGAAAATCACATGAAGCTCAAGAGATACAAACAAACTCCCCTAATCCAGAAGGAAGATCAGTGTTTCCCTGAAACGAATTAAGAAATAACCCCAAGAGCATAGGGGAGCCGTTTCTTTCTGAAAGGCACACTCCTTACTCTGAGCAGTGCCATGAAAGGGAGATTCCAGGACATGCATGCAAAGTCTAAGCTCCTCCATCTCCCCTTCCCGGTAGAAAATGGGGGAGGGGGACAACACTGGTGGGGAGGAGGCCGGCTTGGATCCTGTTAGCTAATTAAGTGGAAAAGGCCATGACATGTGCAAATGAAAAATTATGTGAAAGATGTGTACCTTAGCCAAAGAACTGAAGCTGGCCAAATATTAAGTATTTAGATAAATAACCCAACCAGAGGAATGTGACTTCCTCAGAATCAGAGTTTCTGTGGGAGAGACATGAACTAGGTCTGGCAACACTGAAAAAAGCCCATGAACAACGAGGTGGCTGTTTGGTGATTCTAAATACTCGCTGGCAACGCTCCTGGGAGCTGTTTTGTGGCATCTGTATTCTCAGCAGTGCTGTGGTGGAGCAGGCCCTGGCATGCCAGGTCTAGGAAGGCCTGCAGAGCCTGCCACCCACAGGGCCAGGGCCTGAACGGGCAGGGACCCAGAATTCGGCTCAGTCGCTGAGCAATGGCCTTGCCCACGTCGGCCCTGGACCCCAGTCACCCAGCCCCTCCTCTGCCCCATGAGCCTCTCGGTTCTCTACACAAAGGTGGCCCGCACAAGCCCTTCTTTGTTGTCTTGGAGGGGTGAGCTTTCAATGATGCAAGAACTGTACAAGACTCTGTCTTGCTCCTTGGATCCTGGATTCACCGGCGACAGCTACACAGTGGTTCTCCCGGGAGGTATGTGCACAGTTGCACTAGGACCAGGTTTGGAAAATGGCGGCAGTGTTACATGGTTTCCCGTCCTTGGTGTGTTGCTGTTGGCTGCTGTCCACTTGGCCTTGACTCTTGGCGACCCCATGCACGGTGGGCCGAAAGGCTGCCCAATCCTGGGCCATCTTCGGTGTTGGGGTTTGGACTCTTGTGATCCGTAGGGTTTTGGTGGCTGATTTCAGGAAGCAGATCACCAGGCCATTCTGCCTCATCCATCTTAGTCTCGAAACTCCTCAAAAACC